CTTGTAAATAATATAAACAAACTAGTTGAAGCAGAATCTCACAATTTCACTTACTAGTTGCTTAGATCACCGAACCACCTTCCCGACTTTTCAAAATATTTACTTCTCATCTAGTTTTTTGAACTTCCATATCTTACTGTATCTCTCATTAAAAAACAGTAGGTTTAAAGATGAAAAATAGGATGCTTAAGTTTGTCGTTTCATTACATATTACAAAAAAATTTTTTATATGGCGTAATGATTTTTACTAATAAAAGTATTTTAAAAATTACAATTGACTGTATAAATAAATGTTTGTTGCCAATCACGCTTATTCAAATTTTAGCCAATTAAAATGAACTTCCACTATACTAATTTGCTACAGCTGAAAAAGGCATTGAAGTCTGTTTTCAAAATAATAAAAGATACAATTCAAATAAAAACTGATACTTTGCATATAAAAGTCATTCATTTGGTTTTATGATCATATATCATAAACTAATTTATATTACCTTTGCCAAATCTAATTACTGCCTCTAATTTTTGGTTTTTGTTGTGTGATTGTGTGGTTTTGTGTAGTTTGATTGTTTTATTGATCTGTTTCACTTTCTCATTTAGCCTCTGACAGTACCTAACTCTTATATATATCACATTGTAGCATCTTATTTGTCCTTAAGCTATTTCTGATTTTCACAGGACACTTGAAGAACAGTTAACCTAGTGATCAATGATCACATGATAAACATATAATGACATCATCTGTTTACCAGAATTAAAACAAACTGGCCTAAATATACCCTAACCCTAACCTAACCTAACCCCAATCTAGGCTAAACACTTGTCATATAATGTTGTGATAATTACTGAGTTAACTCTTCTTCGATTTATTCATTTTCACATGCTTTTAATCTTACCTGTTATGGCATTATGAGTTGAAAGATCATGAGTAAGGGTTGTACCCGGGTAAAGGTTACCCAGGTAACCTGCAAATACAATAGATATCTGGTTAAGATATTTGTTACTCAGGTAAACCTATCTGGGTAGGTAATTACTGAGCAACAATACCTTTGAAAATAAAATTATAATTGTATAAATTATTTTGGATGATTAATACACCACCAACCCAGCATATGCTTTCAAGAGGTGCTTCTGAATTTTTATACCACAACCTCTGCGAATTCGTTGATTAATTGCATAAGAGTAGAGATGCGAACCATTTGCCAATCCTAACAGTTTTTGGCCCAAAATAACCATAATGCAGGCCAAAAACTGGTAAGATCGACAAATGGTTCGCATCTCTACATAACAGTGATCCCAACTCGTGATCTTATTTGTTTACCCGGGTAATCCGGATAACCCGGATATACCCGGATAACCATGAAGTGTAACCGACGGCTAACTAGGTAAGGGGTCCAACCATTAGTCATGAGCTTGCTCCTCTTTTCGATCACGTGATATCCTATTACTTCGCACCAATTCAGCAATTCCACAAGGGAATTGCTACGGACACAGCAACACGTGACTTATCGCCTTATCGGCACAGCAATGATTGACATGAGCAAAAAACATGTCAAGCTTTGGGCGAAAATAACTTAGCAACTATCTAATCAAATTCAATGAAATTTTATTATTATTATTTACATTTCTGTAGAATCAATATAAAAAATTTCATCGAATTTTGGTGGTTGCCGAGTTATCTCTGCTTAAAGTTTTACAAAAATTTTGCCGCAGCTATGGTTAATTAAATTTTTGTAAAACTTTGAACTAAAAAACTCGGTATCCATCTAATCAAATTTGATGAATTTTTTTATTTTTATTCTGCAATTCTGTAGAATCAAGATAAAAAAAATCACATCGAATTTGGTTGAATGGTTGCCGAGTTATCTTTGCTCAAAGTTTTACAAAAACTTCGCCACAGCTATTATTTTGATAAGAATTTTAAGCTTTGTAAAACTTTGAGAGAAGATAACTTGGAAATCACCGAACTAAATTCGATGAATTTTCTTAAACTTGATTTTACAAATTTGTAGAATAAAAATAAAAAAATTCATCAAATTTGATTAGATGGTTACCGAACTTTTTTCGTTCAAAGTTATACAAGTGTTTTTGCATCTATATTTTGATAGGCGTTTTAAATTTTCCAAGACTTTGGATAAATATAATTCATTAGCCACACAACCAAATTCGATGAAATTTTTTTCCTTTTATTCTACATGTTCTGTAGATTCAAATGAAAAAAAGTTTGTAGAATTTTGATAGGTGGTTGCCGAGTTATTTTCGCTCAAATTTGTAAAACTTTTAATTTTCTAAAGAAAATTTGGGGTGTTCATGTCGATCATTGCTGTGCCGATAAGGCGATTAAGTCACGTGTTGCTGTGTCCCTTCCACAAATTTGCCATAACAGATAATAATGGTAGTAATGTTCAATTTTATTATAAATACGTATGTTGATCATGCTTTGTGCATAAATAGATCCTCAAAGGGTTTTTCTATCAGCGTAAAGTACATAGTGTCAAACGCCGTCCTTCACACACATTGATACGTTAAATAAGTTGGTATGAGAATGAATGATTGTTTATCTGTTATTATATCAAATATATACATAATAAATTTATATAACTGATATTCAAATAAATTTTGTACCGTCATAATAAAGGCTCTTTAATTTCTAACGTTTAATAATAACAATACATTATGGTAAATGCAAACGAATGGCTAGATGAAAAAATCCCAAAGGACCAAAGAGCTCAGGCAACATTTCTTTATGTCTACAGATTTTGTCAAAGTGGTCATTCTACACATAACAATGATTGTAGTAATTGCAATAATAGAAACCAAAATTCCCATACTAATGCTCCAAATTATCAATTCTATAATACTATTTTAGAAGGAGAATTAGATCTTAATGAATTTGTTAATTTGCAGCACCTATATATCTACGGTACTGGATGGGGTCAGGACCAACAACAAATGATAACTTGTTTAACGATCAATAAATGTAATAAGTTAATTGATTTACAATTAAAATATGCTTATATTTCCGATATAACGTTTGGAGAAGACAAACGACTAAAAAGTCAAGTAGAAAAATTAGCTAGTATTGTTCGAAATATTAAAGGTACTAATCTTGGTGATTTAAAATTAACGGTTAAAAAATTTGAAGATGAAAATTTAGAGTATGAAATAGCTGCGATTAAGAGTAAATTGACTGAAGATTGTCAATTGTTGTTAGAAACTTTACTAGAAGCTCAACAAGAAGTTTTACAAAATGACAACGCTTTTGCCCGAAAACAATTAGAGAAAATTAAAAAGAGATTATCTAATGTGATTACCGCTGAGAAAGTTGAAGAATTATTAGGTAAAATAGTGGAAATTAATGAATTGGCTGCTCAACTAAATAATCTCAAAATCCAAGAAAATCAATAATAGTAACTTTAGGTATAAATTAAAATCACACTTAAAACAGATTAATTGGATTCTTTAGACATAAATTCCGATACTATTATAAATAATGCACTGGAATTCCGTTAAGTTTCTCTTTTTCATGAAAAGCTATTTCTTTATCTTCATATTTTGAAAGAGATGAACGCATATTTGATATATCACATTAGTTTTGAGGACATGAATCAGAACAATATATTAAAAATGTCTCAATTTTTATATACTGTATTTATTTAGTTATCATCTTATTCCTTTATATTTATCTTTATATTCTTTATATTTTTTTTGTTATATTTGGTAACATTTTTCATTGAAATTAAAAATAAAGATTAATCTTTAAAAATTCAAACGCTTGCACAAAATATCAAACAAATATTTTAGATAGGATTACAAATTTGCCAGTCATGATTTGTATTTAATTTTTGAATGCGTTATCACATCCATCGAAGCAAGAAAATAATCTTTTACCATTTTCCAAACAAAGGCTAATCGAAAGAAATTTGATCCGAGAATCAAGGATCCTACTGCCACTAGGATTCCTGAGGTTATTTTAGATGATCTTTATTTAATATGATCCTTTCTTACCTTTTAGTTACATGAAGTCGATGAATCTTCATACACTATGGATCGCATTAGAGTTTTGCTATTACGATTGGAATCTCCAAGCAACATGACTAATCAAAATTCTATTACTAACGATGTTAATTCATATTCAATTATTATTTGACAATTTGAATCCCAGAGGGCACCTTGCTATTGTTCTTTAACGGAACTTCACCTCGAGCCTATACATGTTGTAGAAATTAGTTGCAGCTGTGGCAAAAGTATTTAGGCAAGTCACAATAAGTCATAATTTATACCGCAATCCGAAACAAAAGCCGAAACCTAAAATATATGCCATTTATTTAATAATGATCAAATTTACTAAATCTTTCGTTCCCAAGATTTACCACATTCGCAGTTTGCACCATAAGTCTATGATACTTGCGCTTTTCTTTTTGGATATAATCCCGCACTTCTTTCGGTGGTCGTCCAGCTGTATTTTTAGATGACGTCACTCGCAAATTTGTATAAAATAAAGATAATAAAAGATTAATAAATCGAATTATTTAAATAAATACACTTTTTTTTATTTTTATTACATCACTACATCAATCAGGGATATAATTATATTTTATTACTTTCGGCACTTATGACATTAATTTTGACTTTAGGCATTGACCATTAGTTATGACATAAATTTTATCTTTAGGGCAGTGTTGCATGCAAAAATTCAGGTAGAATTATGCCAAAAGAATTTCTACGGCATGTATACTCATTTATTAAATGTCTTTTCTCATGTCAATCGATGCGTAATGCATTACTAGAATGATCTAAAACTCATTTGCTAAATTAACGATATAAAATGGGAAATTATAGCAAAATAAAAACTATGAACTTGAATAGCTTATTTTAAATTCATCAATTAAAAGTGATCTTTATTATCACTTGCCACTGTACTAGATTAATGCAAATAAATAAATCGGCCGGAAGTACAATAATACTATGAACTTAATAGTTATTTAACTATGCTTTTAGATTTTAAATATTATGAGCCATTCGTTATTAGAAGTAACTTTACTTCATCGTAGTAAAGTTCAAGATGGTATGTTCATCAGAATTGGTATCTGATGCTAAAATTTTGCTGAAACTGGAATATTGCCTCTGATTGGTCAATTTTATTTTCAGAATTTGCATAAAAAAAATCAATAAAAAAATTAATTTATTTGATCGATTTAATTTATATCAAATCTATTATATTTTTAAATGCAAAATTTGTTTATTGGCACATATAACCTTACATCTATATTAGTTTTACATTTGTTGGTGTTGAAAGTCCAAGGTTTACAATTTGCCGCTATGTAAGCCTCATTGAAAAGTTTTTGCGAATGAATTATTTGAAGAACAAGAATCCTGTTTTGAGCTTTCAATAAATTTATATTTTTTTACATTTTAATGAATGATTTTAAATTGGTCAACTAAATCAGCACAGTCTTCTTTTCAATAATTACGTTATTAACGAGGTGTTGTTTTTTATCAGGTTCAACAATTTTTGTAAATTTAAACGGATTTTTAACGGAGGTCTTCCACGAACATGAAACATTGTTTTAAAGAATTTTTTTTTATTCTTTTTTTTTATACCGGTACATTTAAATTACGCAATCGGATCATAATTGCATCATAATGTATTAAACCATTTTTAACTGAAATTATTTATTATACTAGGAGAATGCGTGTCCGGAGCTAAAAAAATGAGTTTAGTGTAACGTACAGCGTATTCAGCCAATCGTCATCGCAGAAGCAACAGACAGACAATCCTGTTGTCGTAAAAACAGAGTCCTCCACTTCGCTCCGGACAACAATTTATTATGATGAAATTAAGAATATGTAAAAATTTGTAAAAATAAGTTGAAAATGCGTAAAGATATGTAAAAATTTTTGCCCATCTCTAGTACATATGTGCGCATATATATTACGGATTTCGGGAATTGAGTTTAACTTAAGGTCTGGATTTAACAGGGAGCCTTAGTTTCTTCCTCAGTTGTGGTTGAACGCACGAAAGTCCGTCTTTAATTGGATAAAGCACATCGTTTTTCTTCAATAAATATAAATAAATTAAAATATTTTTATTGAGTGAAAATATTTTATTTATGCACTTCCAGAATTCTTTCTCTAGTAAAAAAAATCGAAATAATCTAAAACATTAACGAAAATAAGTACTTCTGACACAACCAAGAAAACTTTATAAAGTTTTTGTTCGGTACTTTATTCTCGAGAATAAAATTTGCGGAGACCTACGTTTACAAGCTTGTAACTTTAAAATATACCACTGTTTCAAAATTCCTTAACTATATTCTAGGCTGCGATTTTTATTTTTGTTTAAAAAATAAGTGACATAAACATTTGAAATGTATCATGTTCATTTTTTATTGATACTGATACAATATTGCAAAATAAATTAAATGCTCGTGTAAATTAAGATTTGTTTTAATACTAATATCATAATGTAACTCAAGTTCTCAAGTTCTCAAGTTCTCAAAGCCATTTTTTCCGAAAGGAAATAATTAGTATTATGTTATGTTCTTTCGGGAATATAGCTTTCGGAATCGTACAGTAACCTAATTTGTTAATTAGTACTATTGAAATAAATGTAGTTGCAAATTGCTAAACAATTAGTAAATTTTCATACACTTACAAAACAAAAACAAAAAAATTAATACTTATTTTGTTTTCGGACTTTCATATAGCAGTATGACTTAAAGTAGGCAGATTTATTTCAATTAATATTTTACATAATACAGTAAAATTTACAGTATATTCAACAAATGGTGAAAATTTATTTAATCGTTCACATGAAATTATTTACTAAAAAAAAAAACTTGAAAATGCTAAACAAAACGTCAGTATTAAACAGCGAAAAAAATTTTTTTTTAAATAAAAAAAATTTGATCATATGTAATCATTGCGAAAATAATATTTAAAAAATAAATTATTCTTTAATCACGGCGCATTAGATGGCTACATAAAATTTCTAGTCATCCTGATCAGTGATGTAATTGGCTTCGTCCAATGGAAAACGATGTTTGTATTCATCCAATGGAAAGTGGGAGGAGAAATTAGTAAATCCGATTTAATAAATGCAGGATGCGAAAATTTGAGAGCTGTATCATAATCACGTTAAAATCTATAGACCCTAATTTAGGCACAATGATAGCGACGTGACTTCGAGATAAAAAATATGTTGATCACACTTTATGTAGAAATACATAATGGCTACCTCCGCTTTCTAGTTTATTGCTTAAGTACATATTGCGTAAAGTGTAAAACACCCCACGTTCGTCCTTCACGCATAGCCGGTATTCCATTTTACAGAAATAATTTTTGTACCGTTATAATAAAGACCCTTTAATTTCTAACGTGTAATAATAACAATACGCTATGGTAAATGCAAATGAATGGTTAAATGAAAAAATTCCAAAGGACCAAAGAGCACAAACGGCTCAACTTAATATTGTATCTACAGTAGTAATGCCGACTAAACGTTTTAGCATCACTATGTTTTGGGTTTATCACGTTATAAAACTGATCTTAACATATATCGTAGTTAAAATTGTTAAAATAGAAAGTTATAACTAGATATAACTGTAGTTAAAATTATTGCTTAAATTAAACTATCGCTATGATCAAATTACATAAAAGTCAAAATATGTATTATAAATTAGAATATCAAAACAATCAACAATTCTTACTTATTTCTATAGGGAGTTTCAGAATTAGTTTTTCAAAAATAAGTTGGGTTTAAAAGATCCTATTTTTTTTAGAATTCGAATCAGAAAATTTAATAGACATAGCAGGTAATAAAAATAGCTTTAAGCGATTATGTAAATAAGCACGTACTTTAAAAAATAGAATTTGTGCGTCGCTTCTTTTGAAATAAATACATAATTTATTTTATCTGAAATCAGACGTCGAAACATTAATTCTGAAACCCCCAATATGTCAAATACTAGTTTGAGTGCTACTAGCGATTGTTCAGCTTCAACTAATAAGGATGTCATGATACTGATGGAAAATACTATTCTGTTCGATGCAAATATTGTCCTAAGCATTGGCAAAGAGGAATACCAACTGTAATGGAATCACATTTAGCAAACGAATGTTCTAATTGTCCAGAAGATATATAAAAATACTGGCAAAATAAAATTCTTAATCCAAATAATAGGGTTTCAGAGTTAACTTATTTTGAAAATAAATGGGAATTTGAAAAGTCCTATTTTTGTTTTGAAATTTGGAAATCAGAAAATGAAAAAGGAATTGTCCGAAGATAAAATAAACAAACTTTTTTTAATGATGTATATTATATCTATTATATAAATAGGCTTGCAAATAAAAATAAATAGGATTTATAAATCTCTGATTTCGAAATTGTTGGTGGCAAAGCCAAC